GCTGTCAATAATGTATGCACTCAGACGACGCGCGCACGCACGCACGCACGCAGTGTCAATAATGTACGCACTTACACACACGACACGCACGCACCGACGCAGTGTCAATAATTGCGCACACACTCACACGCAACGCACACGCACGCACTGCACGGCACGCGCTGCAGTGTCAATAATTGTACGCACTTACAACACCAGCACGCGACAGACGACCAGTGTCAATACATGTACGCACACGCGTCCACGCACGCACGCACGCACGCACGCAACGCACGGTGCCAATATATGCACGACACTCACACGCACGCCCGCACGCACGCACGCACGCACGCACGCAACGCCCACGCTCACACACACGCACGCCCTACATCTACACACACAAACATAACTATACAGACACACAACACGAACACGCGCCACGCACTACAGACATACACACTCACACACACACGGCACACCTACCTGCCGGTGGTGATTGTTGTCAACGGTGATGCCTGTGAGGCCGCCGCTGATCGCTGCGCGGCCCCCTTGCACCTGAAGCCGGCTCAAGACTCGCCACGGAAGACACATCGGTCGCGTCGACGCGCGGGCACGTGCCGACCAGAGCGCCAGCGCATCGCGGCGACGGCGGACAGCCTTTTTTTTTCTGTGGGTGAAGTGGCCTGCCGCGTGGTACACCTCGCACCGCGGGATCGCAGTCCGTCACAGAGCCGGTGCCTGCTCAGCAGTTGAGAGAGGAACGCAGGCGTGAGATCCACTCGCAAACACTCCCTCTTACTCTCACTCTCCTCCTCCCCTTCCCCCATCCCTCCCTCCCTCCCTCCCGACCACCGCCCCCCCTCCTCCCCTCCTCACTCAACGGCCATGCGCTCGTAGCCTGCGCCTGTAACGCAGCGGTTGTTGATGGTAGTGAAGGCTTTCGCACCGAGCCCCTCCCTCCCTCGTCTCCTCCTCCTCCCCTCCTTTCCTCCTCTCTCTCAGGTCTATCTCTGCCCTTTGCGTCGTGCTGCCTGTACGCATGGCGGTTTGTGATGTAGTAGTGAAGGCGTTCGCACGATGTGCCTCCCTCGCCCCCTCCCTCCTCCCTCCTCCTCCCTTCCCTCCCTCCCCTGCCTCCCTCTCAGCTCTCACGTCACGCACGCGCTCGAGTGCCCTGCGCCTGTATCTGACTCTATTGTTATGTGTGAAGGCATTCGCACCGATTGCCTCCTCCGTCCTGCTCTCCAGCCCTCCCTCCCTCCCCCTCCCTCCCTCCTTCCCTCCCTCCTCCCCCCCTCCGCTCCTCTCCTCCCCTCCTCCCCTCTCTCACTCACCGCACTGCTGCTCGTGCCTGCGCCTGTTACGAGAGCGTTTGGTTGATGGTAGTGAAGGCGTTCGAGCACCGATGCCTCCCTCCCCTCCTCCCTCCTTCCTCCCTCCCTCTCCCTACGCCCTCCTCACTCACCCGGCACTGCGCTCGTGCGCCTGCGCGCTGTACGAGGCCGTTTGTTGATGGCTAGTGAAGGCGTTTGCGGCAACCGATAGGCCTCCCCTCCCCCCTCCTCGCCTCCCTCCCCCCTCCCTCCATCCTCCCCTCCCCCTCCCCTCCTCACTCACCGGGCACATGCGGCTCGTGGCCTTGCGGCCTGTAGTCGAGGCAGTTTTTGATGGTAGTGAAGGCGTTTGCACCGATGCCTCTCCCAGTGGTTGACCACTGATTGCGATTCCACTGGCCGCAGACTCTGACCCTTGGCCAGCCAGACGTGCGTCAGTGTCGCAGGCCATCAGACACGCCTTCGCAAGCTGTGCGGCTGCAGAGAGGATAGAGAGCAGACACGTGAGGTGGAGAACATTGAACTGCACTACAGCAGACACCGGAGGGTTAGAGAACATTGTAACTTGACTACATGTAGGACACGTGTGCGATGGACGAACATTGTAATGACTACAGTAGACACGTGAGGGTAGAGAAAACATTGTAACTGACTACCGAGTAGACACGTGAGGGGTAGAGCAACATTGCTGTAACTGACTACATAGACACGTGAGGGTAGCAGAACATATGCTCAACTGACTAACGTAGAACACGTGAGGGATCTCTCCTCTTGCGTGCGTGCGTGCGTGCGTGCGTGCGTGCGTGTGCGTGTGAGTGCATACATTATTAACACCGTGCGTGTTTGCGTTTGCGTATCTGCAGGGATGCAGCAGATCACCCAGGCAACAGCAAAGACATTCTCTCCCCAGCAGCTCAACGTTCTCAGACAACAACAACAACAACAACAACAACAACAACAGCTGCGTCTCACTCAGGTGCAGCAGACGCAACTCAAGCGCCAGCAGATGCAGGTGGGTGGCGCCATCTACCCGCGCACAACGCTACGCCGCATCACCTACAGATGTGTGACGCAGCGTTCTTTGAATTGATCTGTTGGATGATAACGTTCCTAGTACTGTTCTTAGATGGTCTGTCGCACCATTGTGGAACACGCTTATTAAACTACAATTCCTGAACCATATCAGTTGCAGAATACTGTTCACAGAACACTACATACTGCAGTTCTTGGAACATGTTGGTTACACCATACAATTCCTGCAACACCGTTCTAGCTCTCTCATCTTCCGACACTCGATCGTTGTCGTGACGATCACCGTGGTTACAGTGCTTCTCATCTTCTCATGTTTAGCAGGAACAGTTGAAGCAGCAGCAGCAGCAGCAACAGCAGCAGCTGAAGCGACTAGTGCAGCAGACGCAGCAGCAGCAGCAGCAGCAGGGGGCGCTGGCTGTGTCGGCAGCAGCCGGAGTGAAGTCCACCAGCATAGCGACGGTCGTAGCATCCGGCACCGTCTCTCAGACACTTGCCTCCCAGCTGATGACGCAGGTAACGTGAACGTCTGTGTGTGTGCGCATGTGAGGTGCTTGCGTGCGGGTGTGTTGGTGTGTGACGTGTGCATGCGCGCGTGCGTGCGTGCGTGTGTGTGTGCAAGCATGTGTGTGTGCGTGCGTGAGCGTGCGTGTGGGTGCGTTGGTGTGTGACGTGTGCATGTGCGCGCGTGCGTGCGTGTGTGTGTGCGAGCATGTGTGTGCGTGCGTGTGTGCGTGCGTGAGCGTGCGTGAGCGTGCGTGAGCGTGCGTGAGCGTGCGTGAGCGTGCGTGTGGGTGCGTTGGTGTGTGACGTGTGCATGCGCTCGTGCGTGCGTGCGTGTGTGTGTGCAAGCATGTGCGTGCGTGTGTGTGCGTGAGCGTGCGTGCGTGCGTGCGTGCGCGTGTGTGTAACGGGCGTAGGTGTGCTTGTATGTGACGTATGCTGCCTGCATTGCTTCAGGCTCGCCTCCCGGCGAAGGCACGTACGATGACGGAGTCTGAGATGGCTCTCATACTGAAGCGACAGCAGCAGCAGCAGCAGCAGCAGCAGGCGGCAGCAGCAGCATCAGGCGCCACCCAGCACGTCACAGCCCTGCATCCAGGCCAGGTGCACATGTCACAGGCACAGGTAAGTGAAGGCTTCGTCACGCGCAGGTAACAAGTGCGGATAACGAGTACAGGTGTACGACAAAAGGTGTACACATGTCTGTTGCAGGACCTGACTGATGTTATCGACTGCTGTAATGTAATCGATAGCAAATGACATCAGGTGACAGTTTTATTAGACGAGCAGGTGATTACAGGTGTGTTAGACAATCAGGTGTAATAGACCAGCAAGTGTGAAGCCACGGGTGACGGTCCTGTGACAGGTTGACAACGCGTTACAATGTTCTGTGTCTTTCTCCAGTTGACAGCTCAGATCCTTGCGCAGGCGCGGCTACAGCAGCAGCAGGCGGCGGCGGCCGTCAGCGTAGGTGGCAGCACCGTGCAGCAGCAGCAGCAGACGCCCGTCGCTACGCTCTTGAAGACGGTCACAGCTCCCGTCGTCACCATCTCCGCGTCAAACGTCACCATTCCCGTGTCAACCGTCAGTGTGCCGGGCGTCAACATCAACGTCACGCTGCCGCAGGTACACGCGCTAGCGCCCTCTACCCCTCCCGCTGCACGCGCGCTGGCGCCCTCTACCCCTCCCGCTGCACACGCGCTGGCGCCCTCTACCCCTCCCGCTGCACGCGCGCTGGCGCCCTCTACCCCTCCCGCTGCACATGCGCTGGCGCCCTCTACCCCTCCCGCTGCCCCCGCCCCCCACCACCCCTGAATATCTCTCTCTCTCAGCCGACAGACACTGAACACGACACAGTTATGACACACGCAGCACGCACGCACACACGCACAGACACACGTACACACACACCGACACCACGCATACAATGACTCACGCAAATGCACAACACACACACACACACACACACACTACACACACACACATAGACACGTATGTGCACTATACACAGGCACACGCACACGCAGGCAAGCACGCACACATTCACACACGGATGTATTTGGACGTGTATGCAGACACACGCCTGGAACACATACGCAATGAACACCATATGCTGCACATACATGAAATCATATCAGCAACAAGAATGATATGCCGACACAAGCCAAACATTCCAATACGCTGGAAAATTATATTAAGTCATAAATTATTCTACAACATTCAACCATTAAAGCTGAATTAAGAGATTTTTTCTATGAATTAGTGCTCAGCAAGATTCAGATCAAAGCTCAGTCTGATATAATCTTTGCCACGTGACCTCAGCTGTTGTCCTGTTGCGAACAATGTCACCTTCTAACCTCCGCGCGATCTCGAGATGACGTCCTCTTCTGGACAATCCACAGCATTACTCTCGCCATGGCACCTCTACCCCTTGACTCGTTCCACTGACCTCTAACCCCATCACCTCCACATCACTTCCACGCGATTTCTAACCCGTTTACCCTCCCACGGACTCTGAACCGCGTGACCCTCCACATGACCTCTAACCGCGTGACCTTCCCACATGACCTCTAACCGCGTGACCTTCCCATGCGACCTCTAACCGCGTGACCTTCCCGGTGCGACTCTGACTGCGTGACCTTCCGTGTGACGCTCTAACTGCGTGACCTTCCATGCGACACTCTAACCGCGTGACGCTTCCGTGCGACTCTAACCGGCGTGACCTTCCAATGCGACCTCCTAACCGTGTGACCTCTAACGCGTGCGACTCTAACCGCGTGACCTTCCCAACGACCTCTAACCGCGTGACCTTCCCGTGCGACCTCTAACCGCGTGACCTCCCTGCGACCTCTAACCGGCATGACCTTTACGTGCGACCTTCTAACGCGCGACCTCTAACCGCCGTGACTTCCCATGCGACCTCTAAGCCAGCGTGACTTCAGCGCGCAGTGTTTATGACTTGGGAGGGTTGCGAAGGCGCATGAGTATGGTGGGCCGACTTCGTCTCTGACTGCACTGTCACAGCCGCTGCCGCAGACGTGGCGCCCGTTGCACGGTTACGCCGCTGCCGCCGACGTTGTTGCGTGGTAACAGTTGTCTCCGCCGCGCTCACCGCTTCCTGGCGTCGCCGACGACTCGACACCCTGATTGTGGCGCACACCTGGGTGATGATGGTCTGGCAGCGGCG